ATAGTTTAATTTTATTTTTATGCAATATGCTCACTATTTTTATTGAAGTTTATTTTATTAAAGTTTTATTGAAGGATTCATGCATTGTAACATGGAGAAAATAAATAGAGAATCATTAGGTTGTTTTAAAATAGGAGGCATAAAAATTCAACAATGCCCTCGCCGATACTCGAACCTTGTCCTCTCGAATACACGCCGAGTGTGCTATCGTTACACTACGAAGGCATGTTAGAAGGAGGGAGAAAATTTCTCCTCATTACACGACCTTATATACTACCTTCTGAAAAAAGGGTAAATGCATAAAATTAATATTTTAAGCTGAAGCGACTGTTTATATTATAATTATGTATAATACAACACGTTAAGTTACAACAACTTAATTAAGTTAAAGCGACCTGGATTTTAAAACTTTGAACTCCGAAAATAGTCTATATAATGGCAAGCGTCTAATTGTTAACCAATATTTTACAAATTATGTTAAAGAAGGATTTCATCGTGATACTAAATACGAAGATATAGTGTTTTTGCCTGAATTGCACATTGTGCATCGACATTCTCTTCACTCTTCACTCCCTTAAAAAATCTTTTTCCCATTATTTTGGCAATAGTCATGGTAATAAGCAAATTCTAAAAACAGTTTTTTTTAAAATATATATCTGACAAAGATAAAATTATATGTAAGATAAAATTCTAACTTAATTTTTAATAGCCCATTAAGTCTCCTTTTTAAATGGTTGTTTTCGTTTTCTAACCTAAATATAGTAATATAATCGTAATAAGTCTGTTTGAACTGCATTTCAAAATTAATCGGTGTCAAATGATTCTTACATAACGCTAATGACCCATACATAATGCGAAAAGTGAAAAATTAAACCATTCAAGTTAAGTCTTTTAGCCAATAATAATGGTAACTTGCAAATAAAATCTTGTAAGTAACTCATAGAAATAAAGTGAAATCATATATCTGTTATTCATAGTCTAATTTCTGTATTGTAATGCAGGAATTTTAAGCTTTCCTTCTATCTTTATAAAAACAAAACTTTTATGATTAATAGTATACTGGACACAGCGATTTACAAAACAAAATCTGAGAATGAATTTACAGAAAGCAAAAACATTGTTTATAATGAAACAAATAAAATGAAACACCAATCATTAGCATAAATTCTAAAATGAAGATTTCGTTCTGAAATATATCTTCCTGACTTTGTAGATCCATGTGTAGTTATTCCTGTTCCAGTGGTCTGGTGAACATTATGGTTGTGGTCAACACAAAATTATTTTTGCTGAAATTACTGCAAAGATGATGAAACTTGGAAATTTTATTTAACAAGGAATTTCAATTAATAACCAGCAACAGCATTATGCTAATAATTAAGTAAAATTATTTCTTAATGATCTCCTTATTGTTTAGTAGGGCATCTGCATACAATGTATTTTTATTTGCGACTTACCTTGCCCGAAAATGAAAAGTTGCATTAAGCTCAGAAAGGCTCAAAGGTTATACAGTTTGGTTAACCTCTAAAGAATTGACCATCAGCGACCTTTAGATATTAGTAGTTTACTCTACGTTTTATTCGTGGTGGCTACAAAGGTTCGCTCAACGTGAATCTGATCCAATTGTTCTTAGGAATTTCTTTACGAATCCTGTATTCTTCCTAAGGTAAATAACTCTATGAAAGCTTTTTCAAAATGTGTTATATACCATAATACTTACCCTAAAGTGTTAGTTACCAGCCTATAAGAATTTAAGATGTGAAAAATATTTAAAAATATAGAAACCTGATCTGAAACCATTTCTCATCATAAAGATCTAATAAGATTGTAAGGATCTTAAGTTGTACTAAACGTTTATTTTGTTTTAAAACTATATTATCCCCTCTTATTTTCCACTTCAGGCCAGAATTAAACGCGTTAACTTGTTTATGCAAATTGTACTTGCTAACGCCCAAGTGTTTAAGTTATGGCTTTTTGCCAAGAGTTAGATAGAGAGAAAGTGAGCCGCCTTGCACTGCATTACACGCGAGTTTTCTTTCAGCTGCTGTCCGCCTTTAAGGCCAGATGTTTAGTCCTCTTGATATTTAAAACGTATTGTAGTTTTCGGCAGTTTGCGTACTACATACGTAATATTTTAAAAGGCCAGTCTTAAGTATTTGTGTAAACTGTTCAAAGTCAGCTCTTATTTAAAACCTTAGTTAGTAGTTTTATATTTTTATGTTCAGACCACAAGTAGTTGGTCTCTGTATCACGAAGTGCGGGAGCACCTGTAATATTGTAGAAAATAAAGGGGTAAAGTTAACCCTTCCTGCTTGTGTTGTCCATTCCACATCATCTACTTGAACATAGCTTGAGTAATCTCCCTGCTCCCATTCAGGGCACGTCATGTTCCCAAAACCCAGATTAAAAGGAATACAAGTCCTGATAAGACGAATAAAGGTATGAAATTTTGAAAACGTCTACTACAATAAGAAATGAAATTAAGTCGAAGCAAAAATTGTTTTTAATTAGTATTAGTGCATGTTCCTTGTATTATAAGGTTTAAGGCAATAAACTATGGTTTAAAGTTTTATAAAAATTACCTTACGATTGTAGAACAGTCGAAGATACTAAGTTACTGAAACAAATTTATTAGAGGCTGGAGAAAATTTACAAAATAATCATTTCTGCTTTTTGGTACTAACATGATATACCGAAGATCTTTTTCCAGAAGAACATACAATCAAATACAAACTTTTCTTGCCTTATACGTTGGGCACCTGTAAAAGATTTTTTACTTTTACATTTGTAAGAGGAAATTGAAACTTGTGGGGGGCAGACAGGAAGAAGTCAATCTTACGTTCCCAGGGTAACGCAGGAGTTGGTTGAATGGCATTCTATTTTGGAACCGTACATCACTTAAGGCTTAGCTTAAGGCTAAGTTGAATAAAGTGAAGGGTATTATGCTACTTGCGGAAGAATTTTATTAGAGGAATTTTTCTTATTCGTCGGAGCATGGCAGAAAATGTGAAACTCTTCAAAGGCAAGCTCATTTTTATGGTATAACAAATTTCTTGTCGCATTCTTCTGTCAGTTTTGGGAGTATAAAACTCGGGAGATAGGAGCAACTAAGAACTGTTTCTTTAACTTTTTTTTAAAATTTATATCAAGGATATATTTAAAAGTAAGCTGAAGAACCGTATTTTATCAGTTCATAGTGTTGCCTTTTCCTGTTGATATCAGATTTAATGGAGCACAAAAAACTGCATTCTTCATTCTGAAGTTTAATAAGATCTTCATTCTAAACTTTTACTCTTAAATGTGAGTTCTATGTATTTTAATTTAGTTTAATTCTTTTCATAAATAGGAAGTGTTAATATATCAATATTTTTACTTAACGATTTTAGAAGTTTGCTTTTGTGCAGTCTGCGTCTTAGATTAGGTTGTAAAGGGCATTCCACATTTCTCATATTTCCTCCTTCGAAAAACCTTATAGCCATGCAAGATTGTTACATTTCATTCAGTTAGATTATTTTTGTCTCTGTGAAAAGCCTTTTTCAAAATATTTTTATTCAGTAATTAAAAAAACACATCGTAAAAATTTGCTTTGAAGGAATTTCTAATCTAAAATTTTGTTGTTTGTGTTGAATCTTGGTGTATATAAACAGCTTATTTTAAGTTTATTTTTCTACTTCCATATTTTGTTACTCTAAAGCTGTACATTTTGTGATTCATATCTGCTTTTTTTTCATTTTGGATGAAAAATATCTTTCGTAATTATTTTTTCCTATTACGCTTACTATATTAGCTTATATATTATATACGCTTACTATATTTTAAACAATTTTATTTAAGAATTGGCCTATGTAAAATGAATCGGAAAACATGCAGTAAGTCAGTAAATGCCAGCATTCTATAAGGTGCAATGATTATAAAAGACAACCGAACAGTGTACGTAATAGTATGGTAGTAAGTTAAAAAACGAATTACTAAACTGCGAATTAATTATGAATTTTCTCCCTTTTCAGACTCACAACAGAAAGTAATTCTAGAAATAAATGCTTTATTATAATCATATCATGAACAATAAATTTAATGTTTCAGTCGAAAAGTCTCTTTCTGCATATAGAATTGGCCCTTCTATACAGGTAACTTTAAATGTAAAAATATTAATTACACAGACAAAACTAGTTACTGAACGAAACTTTATAACTGAAGAAGAACAGTATTTCTTAATTAAGGTTTTATATATTTGCAACATAGATATTAATTATAATGGGATATTTGTTCGCGAATGGGCGTGGCAATGCGCCTGACTTCTATATAGAGAAAAAGGTGTTGTCCTGTTAATCAAAATCAAGCACTTGCAGATGCTATAGCGTATGTGGGATAGTACCTTAACTTCAATTTCCATAACCTTCAAGTTAAGCAACGTCCATTATCTTTAAAAGAAGTTCAATTTAATGATTGAGTTAAATCTTGACTTAACGAGAAATTGAAGTTCAACTTTCCTTAACTGTTCTCAGTGTGCTTTAGTTACTTCATGTATTAAGGAAATGTTATTCGATTTTTATTAGAATACATTTTATGCAGGAATCATGAATAATTCTTTTGAGTTTTTCAGACGTCATGAAAAATTTTGATTTTTTTTTTTTTTTGTATCTTCACCTATATGCTTACATATATTTTATAAATTTAAAAATTAGTTTACTGTTTAGCTACAGGAGTTTCGACAAAATTCTGAAAAGTCTGTTAAATATTAACAATCAGAAACGGTTTAAATTTAATGAAAAAACAAACTACTAGAAAAATGCTTTGCATACAATTAAATAATATTGACAAATATTTTTAATATTATTTCAGAAGAAATCATAGGCTATAAGTAAAACCTTTTGCTAAGTAAATTAATTTTACTTGCTTTAATTTCATTCCTAAGAATGTTAATGTTTTTCGCATAAAAATCTATAGTGTTCCTTAGAAACTTTTCATTTATCACTTACTGTTTTTTTATGTCCTTTCCTTAGCTCTGCAGAACTTTTAGATGCATACAAATCTCTCTTGAAAATATTCGAAGGTGTCACAAACATCTTTCAAGGACTCTGGTATATTTCAGTTGAAATTTATTCAGACTTATGCACTCCAATTAGTACTACATTCAAGGATACTACATTCAAGGACCGATTTTTGGAGTCCAATAAGGATATTGTAATGATTTTTAAACCTTGTACCGTCCTAAACCAATCAATAAGGAAGATATTCAACCACAGGGAATCCGACGCTTGAGATTTCATTTCCTGCTTGGAAGACTAGTGATTTTATTGTTTGTAAAGCCTTAAACAATAGATCACTGTCTCCCATCGGTGAATGAAAAAAATCAACACACATGACGGCTTATGGAGAGATTATTATTCAAACCATTATTGCTTTGGTAAGTGTTTTTCTCTTCTTATATAAACGTATGCGTTTACAGTATATCTCGGATAACTCATTTAAGTTCTATGTATAATGATAAATAATGTCTTAAATATTCAGGGCTTAACATATAAATGTGCGTTTGTTTACTGTTTGTAATTTAATACAATATTGAATTTTTAAGGTGAAATTCGTCATTAACAGTTATCTCAGTCTCAAATATACATATTCTGCTTCAAATCTTACCATTATTATCGACCATATTTGGAGACATTTTGCCTTACTAGATAGGAAGTTTATGTTTTACAGTTCACTGAATATCTTCAGATTGTTTTCTATATCCATGTTAGAAGCAGAGTTTGGGGGCAGGAAATGTGTTTAATTAGTTATGGGTGTAATAAAACAACCGCTGATTAACGTTCGTTTTCATTGACTGTTTAGCGAATGTCTTGATTAATATTTAAGATTCATTTTGGCTTTCTATTTGAAATCTGGGTTTTATAAAAACTGAATAAAACGTTAAGCAACGCTGAAAGTGAAAACTTCGGCCAAATTACAGGGAAAAGAAATTCTTCATTTGCTGATATCATTTCTAGTAATCGGTAGGTATAGCCGTTAAATTTAAATGCATTTCAATAAAAAAATATGTAACCATAATGGAAACAAAAATTTAATTTATCCAAACCTCCAGGCATTTTAGCGTCATATAAATATATAATTTACTGTTGCTTCATTATCTGAAAGTTTGTTCCCAAAATACATTCTCCAGAAAGTTTTTATTTGCATCCTTATTTTTAGACATTAACATTGTACAATCTTATTGCACTTTTTAATGATGTCTTGCTAATTTGTTGCCCTAATTAAATCACATTAGTGCGAATGTATGTTTTTGTTAAAATTACTGTCATCGTTTATAATAGAATTCCTCATACTGATCAGCGAATATTTCAAGCCAGCTTTGCATTATGGAAATTTGTGTGGCTATAACCCATGTACGACAAGAGCCATGGTCGAAATAACATGCATAATACCTGAATTTCGAATGCACAGTTCGTCGTATATCCTTGATATGTGTGTTCATGGTAGCAGACATAGTCATGCTCTTGTTGCACTAGCTTGCAGTCGGGCCATGCTCATAGACCCCAGAAAACCATCATTGGCTGAAAGACGCATACTCTTAAGCAGTAGGGTGTTTGATTTAAATATAATGGATGTATATAATGTAAGATTCTCACTAGTGTAATTCTCAGTTACTGTAGAAAGTGACGAATCTTAGGAACTAGTTAGCCAATAATCGCTCAAGTTCGTGTAGCAAGAAACAAGATGGAAGGGTAACTAACCCTTTATTATTCAAATCAGATTTCAAAAAACTCCGTCTTGGAGTGTACAATAAAAGCCGACACTTAAGAGACTAAAAATTAAACTAAAACTAAGATTAACTAAAGAAATATGGCCGAAGGTATCAAGATTATAATCGAGTTGGCCCCTTAACTTTATTTGACTACGAAGCTTATCAAGGGCCTGAGTATGACCGAGCGTAATAACAGCTTTCAGAGAGAGAGTAGCCAAAAGGCAGACGCGCGCAAATCAGAAACTCTGATTCTCTCTAACTCTGTAAGTAGACTTCGTGGTTTAAATGCCGCTCCTCCTCATTAAGTATTCAGAAAGATTCCAAAACTACGTTCTGGCCGGAAGTAGTAAGTTGAAGTTAAGAATTTGACAGGAAATGAACTTAAAATTTAACTGTTAATAAAATTATCATAATCCTTACAATAAATACAATGGACGTAAATATGATGGATGTATATAAAATATGATGGATTTATTTGGTTTGGGACAAACATCGTTACGGATAAATGCTTTGGTAAATTCAGCTTCAAAAGATGTCGCTGATATATAGTTCATGCTATGCAGTATTATTAGCACTTACCAACCATTTCCTCAAATCAAATTTTGCTTCGAGCTTTCTACAGGACTGAGTCATCCATGCCTCATTGATGTCAAAAGCTGTGTCTTGTTAGCCACAACATCAGGCGAAGTTACTGCCTGCTGTTGAATCTGATTTTTCCTGATGCACAGTTTGTCGTATGCTATTAGTATGTTTTTTTCGTGTCAGCAGATCCAGTCATGCTCCTCTCCCCCGCTCTCTTTTACCAGCTCTTGCAGTGGGCTCATCTTCATAAGTTGTGGAAACAATCAATGACTGGAAGAAGCTGTTATGATAAAAAGAATCCCATTTCTTTGTCATAAGAAAAGAGCAAAATCTCTTTTTCAAGAATTTGTGTGTTACATATATTCAAGGAATCCTATTCAAGTGGCTGTACTGTAAGAATACCACAGGCCTGCAGAGGAAGTGGGATGATCTAGGCAATATTTTCTTAGCATTCTTTAGATAGCTCACATGTATACCTAAATCTTGTCGCTGATAGAGTGCCTTTCTTCATAGCAAGTGATTTTATTACCTTAAGAAGATAATGTCTTTCAATAAGACAATGATCTATGCTAATATTGCGAAGAATATTAAGGAATATTTCTGATGATGGAAAATATATATCTTTATAAACACGACCCTAGAGTATGAAGCAATAGAGTATTTGTGGTTTGAGCTTAAAAACAGTAATTACGAGCAACTTAACTCTATCCGTACAATTTACAGAACTGAGAAGAGTCTTTTGCTGCAGTCATAACACCATATATCAAAAGATGTCTGCCAACATGTTACTGAATCAACGCTGTTTAATGTGAAGGCTTTATTAGTGCAGTGAAAACGTCTGCTACATTAGATGACGTGTTTAATATTTTGGTGGATCTCTTTTTCAAGAATTCTAGTTTTATCACCTTGAAACTGTTATTTATAGTTACACTAAAAGTTAATCAATATGCGATTATTATATCATATATATGGTAAGAGTTTTTACACTTGTATATTTATCTGTTACTGGCGAAAATTTAATTCTTCGTTCTCTTATCAGGTTCTTCACGCAACTCTTTAGCAGAAACTAAACTAAAATCGAAAGCAAAATGAAAGGGTGAAAATTGATTTCTGCTTTCGATTACGTTTCAATGCTTCTACTCCCACATCTGATTTTTCCATCAGTGGGCGCAGTCTAAATTCATATTAATTACTGAGTATTTTTGTTGCAGTACTGTCTTTTTTATATGATTATTTTTCGCTTTACAAGGACACCTAAGTTCTGTGGAAATGTCTCTATATATTTGCTTTATTATCTCTTTGCGTTAAGTTAAGAGACACTAACCTACTAAATTAGAAGATGTATCTATTCAAGCCTTTTTTATGAGGCAAAATATCATTTAATCTGATATATGATGTATATATAAGGCTAATCATTTTTAGCAATTTAGATCAATTGCCCCATATTTTTTTATTTGACGATGTAACAGCTGTACTATCCATATATTTCTTTACCTATAGGATAGGGATAACACAAATGAATAGAAAAACATCAATATTTTGTGCGAGAAAGATTTATTTCTGGTTCAGCTTGAATTGAAATAGTTCTCTAAAGTAGTTTTTAGTAACATACTTTGAGTAATTCACATCGAACATTTTCAATAATTTCTCCAGCTGTTATTATTCTTTAAGCCATGTCAAAATTAATAGTTACGTATTTGTTTTCTTTTTCAAATGTTGTAAAAGCGAAGTTTCATCTTAAGCTTAAGAACACAACGCTTCTTTTGTCTTCTATATAAAAATGAGGAATAAGTATGTTGACAGAGAAATAGTCGAGGTATCTTTTACTTACTATAGAGAGAAAGACCGCGCTGAAAAACAGTAAGCTTCATATTCTAAAAAATGTCATAGATAAAACCGTTATTCTTTAAATGGCATTAGCACTAGTTCTAAATGTTTACTCTGTCCTGCCATTCTTCGCGTTCTGCTATACATTGTCGATGGCAATGCATTTTGTAGTCACTATAAAGGACAATTTGTTTTCATATTCTTACTAGCAAATATTGCATCAATGGTAGGAAGATTTTCTTGAGGGATATTCCCATCCCAAAATACAATCAACAACGAAGACTGCCAAAATTCTAAATATTGTCGAAGCAAAACATCCTAACAAGATGTATCGACAAGGAAATTGTGAAAACTTCCTTGTCATGACCTTATTGGAATGTTTAATTGCATGCTATAAAGTTACACGAAATATTACAGAAGAAAAATTTCAAAGCATTATTTACAGGTATATTTACATCACTTTCTTAAACCACCATTATTAAAGCTGTTTTGGCAGGCCTCCCATACCTGAAAATTTTCACCAGATCTGGAATTTTTGATTGTCATCTGGGTTGATAGGTTTTTGTTCCCAAAACTACACCATTATATGGATTTTTTAGTAATTTGTAGCATTAAGTCAACGTTTATTTTTATTTCTTGTAAATACAGTAAAAATTAATATATTAAGACTAAAATCTTTTTAACTATCTATTATTGAAATACTAATACTGATTTATAATACTCCAAGTGTGTGGACTAAATAATACATATGTGAAAGGATTTCAAAGTTTTTGCACCGTTCTAGTCCATAGTTTTTCTTCATGTTGCTATCATATTACATGCGCAGCTTGTTGAGCAGGCGAAGGGCGGTTCTGTATAGTCTTTATTCTTATTCGTGGGAGTTTTGCATTATTTGATGTAATTTTTATGAGTGGCTACACGCAGTGATTCAATAAACTGAAGCGACTATGCCTATTTCACGTTAATGGATTTGTGCTTTATGTTTTTATTTTTAAATAAGATACTATTAACTAGTCACAGCTATAATGTATGAAATTTGTTGCCCACAGAGAAAGATGAGTAAAGGCTGGTATACACAAATTTTTATCCATGAATGGTTAATGAAAATTTGTTGTGAAA